GTGACATTGATAAGGAGATCGAGATTGCGGTGGTATGGACATGTGTTGAGAAGGGATGAAAGGGTCGGGATTAGGCGAGCGTTAGAGTTCGAGGTTGAAGAAGTGGTAGGAAGGGGTCGTCCGCGATTGGGATGGAGAGAGCAGGTGGAGAAGGACAGGGTGAAAGCGGGGTTGCGTGATACTGAGGCGAGTGACAGATGTGGATTTCGGTTTCATCATAGGTAGCCAAACGGCAACCTCCGATCTCGGGAAAAATGCCGTCTAAACGTGTGTTGTTGTTGTTGTTGTTGTATAATTATAATCATACAAAAAAAATTTTTTTTTTACTTTCTTTGGTGAGTGTATGTTTTTCTGGATGATTGCAGCATGCTGATTTCAAATCTTTAATCCATTTACTTGTATCACATCAAAATTTTAAGAAAACTTCAGTTGAAGTAATGATCACTTTATTAATAAATATACTCACAATATAATCATTAAAATATAAAAAGTAATTTCTTTCAAGATTTTTATTAATCAAAAAATGTCATTCTATTGAAATTTTGTGATTGTTCATTAAAATAAGACAGTTGATTCAAATTTAATTTTAAGAAAGAGGCTTAAATTTCTTGCATGTAGACTTTCGACGGTGCTTAGCTTCTGGGGCATCACGTTGCAGAAACCAGCAGTAATCTGCGAGCATAGCACTACTCCATCGTCCTTGATAGCGTGATTCCATTACAGCGATTTCTTGGTGGAAATGCTCTCCGTGTTCGTCACTGACTTCACCAAGACATTCAGGGAAAAAGTCAATATGCGAATCAAGAAGATGTATTTTAAGGGACATGTTACATCCCATCTTCTGGAAGGCATTGATGCATTGTTCAACGATTTCTTTGTAACTATTTGACTTATTATTTCCCAAGAAATTGAAAACAAGTGATTTGAATGCTACCCATGCCTCGAGATCTTTTCCATTTAGCATATCTTGAAAATGTTTATCACCTATTACTTTTCGAATCTGAGGGCCCACAAAAATTCCTTTTATTTTAGCATCACTGATTCGTGGAAACATGGAACGAAGATATGTAAAAGCATCACTTGTCTTATCCAACGCTTTCACAAAATTCTTTATCAGACCTAACTTGATATGTAACGGTGGTAAAATGATATCTTTTTTGAGAACCAGTGGCTCATGCAAAACATTCTTATGACCAGGCTCCATGCGATCCCTAATAGGCCAAATCTTTTTTGTATAGTGTGCAACTTTATCCCGATTATTCCATTCGCAGAGGAAACAGCAGAATTTGGTGTAACCAAGTTGTAGACCCATGAGGATTGCAATGACTTTCAAGTCTCCACACACTCTCCATTTGTAATCATTATATTTTATTTTTATTAAAACATTACCGATATTGCCATAAGTCTCTTTTAACTGAGTGGAGTAAGCAATTGGAATTGATGGCAATAAATTTCCATTATGCAGCAGCACAAATTTTAGGCTCGTTTTTGATGCATCAATAAAGAGCCGCCAGTTCTTCACTTCATGTTCATGACCAAGATGTGCCATATGATTTTTAACATCATTACAGTAGCACATACTGTCATCTGATGTAAAGTACAGCATAAGCTCCTTGTGTCTGAAGCGAAAGTTGCATATTTTTGCATAAGGAGCTAATAAATTCCACTGTTTCAATCGTGAACCAAGAAGCTCCGCCTGTCCTTCCGTCAAAGCAAGATCACGTATAAGATCAGAAAGATTTGCATTATTAACTAAATGAATTTCATCACTTTCTGGAATGTAGTTATCATCAGAATCATTGGTACTTTCTGGATTTGCTTGCTTGTCACTCTCTGAAAAATCATCTGAATGAAAGGAGTACGAATCAGGAGAAATTGGAACTGGACAGTTGACAGGGTTGTGAGGAATCGGCTTGGATACTGATTCAATGTCGGGATAAGAAATAGACTTACGAGTTTTAAATGAAAATCCTTTTATAACTGTCATGCAAAAGTAACAATCTGTGGCATGATTTGTGAGTTCGCGCCATATGACTGGAACTCCAAACGGCATTGACTTGTGCTTTGGTGATTTTCGCAACCAACCTGCCAAAGTATTAGCAGAAATGGAGCAAATGTTGTTTGGTTTCCACTGTTTTTCCGCATCATCAACTTTTGAATCGAAATAAAGTTCATAAGCTTTTTTTAATAATTGGGTCATCGTTTTCCGATGGTCGACATCAGTAAAATACCTACAAACATAACAAAACAAATTAGGAGAATTTAAACACTTTCGAGTAGCCATGGCAACGAAATTAAATTTTTATTATGAAAACAAATAACGTAGGGCATAGATAAACTATACAGGTAAAAGCTTTTTTTTTTAAAATTGTTTAGTCGTTTTCTTTGGAACGCAATGTGATAGAGAAAAACGGTTTTCAGATTTGAAATCAGCGTAAAAAACTTGTATAAGAACACTAATTATTTTATGGGAAAGAAAAATTATGTAAGTCAGTGTTATTAGATGATTTCAATTTAATGAAAAATTGAAACGAGAAGTATGCTAGAAGGCTGGTCGAGTCAAGGAGATGGTTTGTTGTATTTGTTAGCTTGTAAGTAAGAGTGATCTTTATAAATGATGCCACAGTTGGAAGCTGGTAGGAAATCAAAACCTTTCGGACACTTTTTGATGGCGATGGAAATAGATTTTGTGAAGTCCATTTTTTTGAAAAAAGTAAGTAGAACATAAGTTTCTAATTTATAAAAGAAAAATTTAAATCGAGAGTGTGATGAAGGAGGTAGATTTTAAAGATTATTTGGACAAAAATTACAGGAGTATTACGTATTTTACAAAAAAATTTGTGATTTGATAGTTCGATTTGATAGATTGAAAATTATCATGTTGAGGTAAATAACATTTGTACAATGTGTGACGTCATACTTTTGTTTTAATGGTTAATGACGTATATCTACATATTCGCAATATAAACTGAGATCTAAATACTGTGAATCGAAATAATTTTGTTAAGTTCGAATTGATAGAAAGAAGAAACTTTTGAAGTTTCTTGGAAGCTGTTTAAATTGAAGCTTCAAAAGTAAAACGTTTTATAAACGCCTCGGGCTATGTTTTTGCAACATTTGCTTCCATCGTGAATAATGCATCCGTCTGTTCAGCTGATCATAGTATTCGTCTATTCCTCGTACTCGTTTGCCAATCTTTAAAAAGTTATGATGAAATTATAAATATAATTAAAAAATTTTGAATAAATAAAAAATTCTATATAATTTCATAATGTTTTCATGGTTAAGGTATGTAATTGAATGACTAATGAATACATATTTAATTAGGAAATTTGAAAATAGCACTTCAACATATAACTCTGAGTTATTAAAGTTGATTTTATTAACCTTTTAAAAAATGAAAATGAGTAGTTTTTTTACGTTGCATCAACTGTTCAAAGGAACGGAGTAGGTGGAATGCTTCACCATCACGATACTCCCTCTTTCCAAAGTAATCTTTCAAGTTGTTGTGAGTTCCGGAGCAAATTTTGAATAATTGATGATGTGTTCATTGACACGTATTTACTTTTTAACTTCCATTTCAACAACAAACACCGCGAGGGTCTGTTTTGTGTTGTTTAATTACTCACACACACACACACACACACACACACACTCATTAAAAATTATTTAATTTATAAATTTTACTTATTGGCATAATTAATTTGTAACTCACTGTTATCTAAGAGTTCAATGTTTTATCAGTAAACATTTGATTGCGCATTTGAAAAATTTCCGCAACTCAACAACCGTCAAAACAATATTGGGAAATTTAAATTAAAAGAACTAAAAAACTAAAAAAACTAAAAAAAGAAAAAACTAAATTAAAAGAACAAAATTATTTATAGCCGTAAGCAGATTAATTAAGATTATACAATTGTGTAATTATCCTCCTACTAAAAACAATTTCTACTATCTCAATTATAGCAAGCCCGCTTCAACCGCTACTACTTCTAATTAAATCACTGCCATCATTTCTAATTTTCGCTACAACTACCACAACTACTAACCTTGCTGCAATACTTGTAATTGTAACCACTACCACTAGCCACTATTAACAGCATAGCACCACTTTCAACTCAACCTCAACAACTATACTACTTTTACTAATAAATTATTTTGCTACTATTCCTGTTGTTGTCGTTGCTATTGCTACTACTACCGCTACTACTACTTGAATATACACACAACAATTTTAGCGTTTCCTATTATTTTATAAAATTTTCCATACACCAACGAAACAGAACAAAACTTGTGTACAACTTCGACTTCCCGCGATTATTTATAGAAATAAATTTGTACCTTAACAAAATTTGAAACTTTTAAAAAAGGGGGCAAACAAACAACAGTGTAACTTCACAATGAAAAATGTTATTGAAATTGTTTTTACGTTAAATCTACGCTTTTCTATAGTTGTCACAATCCGGACAGCAGAATGGCCTGTTTGAAGTGATTGATTCCATCTGAAACCCATCCAAACGTTGCAATCCAACGTCTCTTGAAACTTTTTTGATTGTCCTGAGAATTCTGCTTATGGAGCTGATGGATGGAAGGTTGTTGGTACTGCAAACATTTTCAGATATCAGCCTGTCTCGAATTTCCCATCCAAACAATCCAGGCAACTCCATCTTGTACCTGCAAACGGCCGCAACGACATCCTTTGTACTAACGCGAGGTCGGCTCCCTCCTGTGTTTCCTGGAAGCAGCGATCCGTTTTTGTGGAATCGAGTTAAAATTTTGCTGATGCAACCGTGCGATACTTTCAAAATCTTTGAGATGTCGCACGGTCGAACTTGCTGCTGGGCGAGTTGAATTATTTTGAATCTCATCCAGAGAGGTAGAGGCCTGCCGTTCACAAACATTCTTCCGAGCTGGTTTATCTCTTCAGCAATGAAGTCTCCATTAGTCGAATGTTTTTTCATTGATGCTGACTGTTTCGGATTGTTTGTTTTATTATATGGATTGTTTGCTTTATCGTATGGATTGTTTGTTTGATTGTATGCAGTGTCATCCTCACAGTCTTTCTTCATCAAAGATTCTATTGTGAAGGATTTCATTCTTCAACTCGTGAAACTGCAGTTTATTATTGTATTTCAACGTTCAAGATTTATGTTATACGTTTATAACGATACCTTCCACTGATATATTCACGAACGCACACACACATCGACACATATTATATCCTATAATATAATGTATATAAAGTATATAATTTTAATATATTTACGTGTGCGTGTATTTGTGTTTGTATAGATATATCTCTTTTGATTGGACAAAAGTGTTATCATTTTCTTTTGACTCCGCCTTTTTTTCAACCGTAATTTTCAACTTACCTACACTGTGCCGCAAAGTTGCTCAGAGGAATTAATTTTCAATTGCTTAACGTTTATGCATTTTAATTTTGTAACTTTAAAAAAGTATGACACTATATGTAACGGACATTTTATTAAAAACACATCTGCTGAAAATTATGCATTGTACATTCGTTTGTCCTGAAAAACTAATGTGACAGAATAACAATTATTTTGATTTTCAAACAAGAAAAATGTGGGAGCAGATTTGTTTAAAACAATCAAAAGTTTGTAATTTGTTAGTCTTCTGCTAAAAATAAATTGGAATGAGAAACGTTTTCTGGTAATTGCAACATAAAAAATGACAACAAATGAATTAGTCTAAATTAACAATTAAGATGGAAAATTTGTTGATGATGTAACAATATTTAAGACAAACTATTTTTTGTTAAATTAGTTCTAATTACAATTGAGAAATTTAATAAAAACAAGCATAATATAAATAATTATGAAAAAATTTGCTGTTTATTACCAAAGATTCTTCATAGGTTCTAAATAGGAACCACTTGAAGCGGCACCACCCCCCATGTAGTGGTTGTAAGACATCATGCTCATCTGGTTGTAATTGTTGTTGAAGTTGGCTGCCTGATGATAATAATAAGGATCGTAGGATGGATAGTGGATGGGATGCATGGATGGTTGCTGATGAAGATGGTTGTGATGATGAGGATTGAATGTGGATGGCGATTTCAAAGAGACCGATGGGTCAGAAGATTGTTCCCTCACGTGAGCGCTGTTGCTGCTGCTGCTGCCTGCGAACGAACTCACGTTTGTAGACTCGTTCAAGCTGCTGGAGTGGTCAAACAACTGCAAAGCTGCGTAATTATTCTGGTCACGTGGTGATGCCGAAGATGGAGGCGTGACGGAAGAATATGACTCAGACTGAGTCATGCTTCCCGCGTATCCTCCATTTCCATTTGGGTGGAAATAATTTGAGAATCCTGCAGCAAAAGGAATCGACAGGTCTTGAAATTTTGTATAGTTTTGTTGGAAAGATTCGCTTCCTGGAGGTGTTAGTAAGGAATGTTGTTGCTGTTGCTGGTGGTGATGTTGGTGTGCCTCGCTGTAACACTGCTGTTGCTGTTGTTGTACATGCTGTTGTTGTTGCCTGCTGTGGCCGTACACATTGGATCGAATGACGGACTCTCTTCCAGGATATAGTGACCTCAATAAGGATAGATCGGGGTAATTGTGCATTCCACTTGACCCGTCTAACGCTCCATTCCCTCCACCGTTAGCTCCTATCCACTGAATTGTAGACTTTGATTTTTGGAATCCAAGAACGCTGGGATGAAAGTAACCAGATGTGAAAAAATTATGAGCGGCAGCCGCAGTAGAGGAAGTGGTGTAAGTCGATGGAGGACTCAAAGTCGTTGGCAGATGTTTGTTCATGGCTGCTTCCAAATCGTGAACTGTAGCTCCCATGTTGCTTTTTCTCGATGAATATGCTTCAGACAAGTGTTGCGATGAGGAGTTATCGTTGAGATTGTTGTTGGTTGTGCTGTTGTTTGCGTTAATGGATGGATTGTTGGATGTGCCGTTAGATGTGTTGTTAGAATCGTTGTTGTTTATGTTGTTGTTTGGGTTGTTGGCTGATTTATTAACGGCGTTCACGACACTTGTGATTGCTTGTTTGGGTAGTTTTGTCTCTTCTTTCTTTGCCTCACCTTCATCTGTGTTGAAGTATTCATCATTCTTACCAGCGTGTATGATTTTCTTGTGGCTTAGCTTTTTATTGACGTTTTTGCTGTCGTTGGTTGTGATGTTGTTGTTGTTGCTGATGTTGTTGTTGCTGATGATGTTGTTGTTGCTGATGATGTTAATGTTTTTGTTATTGTTGCAATGACCGACTACTTCATTGTTGCATTTTGTACTATTTGTGATTTTTTCAGAAGCACAAATGATTTCATTCGGTTTTTGCACGTTGTTGAAATGCTGCTGCGGATTAAAGAATTGGGATGTGCTGTGATCTCGCTGTTTATCGGCATTCGTTGGTATATTCATATGAACTAGTTTCTGATTTTCTGGCCTATTCGAAGCTGGCGTCAATCCATCTGCATTTTCATTCAAATTCACTAATGCAGCCCCATCAGCCGCGGTATCTTCCTGTGGAATGCTATTGATGTTGTTGTTGTTGATGTTGTTGATATTGTTGTTGTTGTTGTTGCTGTTGTTGTTGTTGCAGTTGTTGCTGTTGATGTTGTTGTGGTTGTTGATAATGCTGTTGTTGTTGTTTGATGGGCTCTCATAATTATTAGTTTTGTTGTTTGGCTTTGTGGTCTGATTGTTGGATTCATTGTTCAAACTGCTGCTGTCAGGATCAATCGATCCTGTATGTACTTCAGGCGCATCTCCACTGTTGACCGAATTTGTGGCTGGCTGCTCTTGAATGGTGTTGGCAGAAGAGATATTTGTTGTGAATGTGGTAGTAGTTGTGGTTGTTGCAGTCGATGTAGTTGCAAATTCAGCTGCTCCTCTCTTTCTTTTACGAGGTTTGTCCATTTTTCTTCGAGAGTTTTTTAGATTTGTTTTTAAGCAACATTTGGCAGCTGTGGCATCAACATTTTTTGAGTGTTTGTTTGGCTGGTTGGATATTTCCTCGCTGTTGATTGTAGGTGTAATTGTTGTAGTAATTGTTGCCGTAGTCGACGAAGAGGATAAATTGATACTGCTAGGAACAAGTGGTTGTTGTTGTTGTGATTGTTGTTGTTCTTGTTGTTGTGGTTGTTGCTGTGTTAACCTCAGATCAAACAAATTTTTGCCTTTATCGTAGTAATTTGGTTGAATGTTAGTACTAGCGACAATGTTGTTGTTTTTGTAAATGTTTTGACTTGCAAACGAACTTTCGCCTGCTGACGTGTATGAAGTTTTATCCAAACTTTGAAACTCTGGAAAAATTTCATACTTTAGCTAACAGATTTCATTCATTCAGAGTACAAAACAATAAAATATCTGAAAATTTTAACGATAATCATAAAATTTCAAGCGATGAGTAAAATACGGTATGTTTGAGCAAAATAACACGAGATGATGACCAGCAAATAGAAATAACGCAAAAAATAACAACGTGTCTGTTCACCTTCACTGGTGTGTCCCCCGTCACTTTTCATGTTGGCTCTGTACTGTTCCACACTCATGACACAGCCAGCATATTCGATTCCACTGTTCAATGTTTCAATTTTTTGACTTCAGTTCATGTTTTGAAATTTTGTTTAAATTTATTGAATAAATAAAATTAACAGAATGTTTGCATAATTCTTTTAAAAAATTGCCTAGCGACAACAATAAATTAATGATATGCTTCACAACTTGTGACGATAAATAAGAAAGTTTAAGTTTAAATAACGTTTTGAAAAATCAAAATACTATAAATTTTTTTTTAATTTTTTTTTAATAATTTTAAAATATAAACGATCGGTGAAAAACAAACCTGAGGACATAATTGATGGCGATGATGTTCTGGTCGTCGACGTTCTTGGCGTTGCAGATGATGGTGGCGCACGTCTGCACCCACACGAAGCCGCCGTGTTTGTTCATCAGTCTGTAGTAGTCAGTCAACACCTGACCCTTGTTCAGCACTACAAACAACATATATGCAAAATTTAGGTATATATATATATATATATATATATATATATATATGAGTGTGTATGTGTGTGTGTTTGTGTGTGTGTGTTTTCACCATAATAATTATTTTTATGTCATTTGGATGGAGTATGTTGTGCGAGTGCGTACCTCTTGTTTGAACGTTAAAAAATTAGAATTTATAGTTAATTTTATCTCGTTTTATGTTTTATCTCGTTTTCACAGGAAAAGCAAATAGAAATGCGTTTGCGTCTATCGAGTGATTTTTTATTTCACAAACTGGTGAACGTCACATTTGATTATGTCAAACAAATTATTTGATTTAAATTATTTTCTAAAGTGTATAAAAATGATAATTGTGCTGATTAAATGTCTCGACTTCTCTTGCTATTGTATCTTAAATATCTGGAAAATGTTCATGAACCTTATCTTTCAACATTAATCGAAGCCTCATTTATCAAACCACACTTTCAAAGATTCACCTACGTAAGAAATTCGAAGGTCATATTAAACCCCATACATGTACAACATACAGGCATTCAGATGCAAGCACACATACATTCATCGACACGTACGCACACATCCCAAAACATGCATTACACGCACTTATATAACAAACATGCATTCACATAGAGGCAGACATACATTACCAGATACGCATTCACATAAACGTTCCGGTCTATTTTAATCATACTCGTTCATGCACCCTTCCATCCATCCATCCAGTCACTCGTTCACTCGTGCAGTGGAAAGCAGCAAACTTGCATACATTAGCATGCTCCATCGCTCCTGTCAACCTGGTTGAAGTATTTCCCTTTTATCAACTGCGCTCATTAATTTCATTACAAAGGCTATATTCCATATAAATATTTTGATTTGCCCAACGACACAACGCCTCTTGCACGGACATACTTTATATCCAATGCAACAACAATTGCACGCACACAACAATACAAATACGATGCAATACAGACACATACATACAGATACAAGCTCAAACACATGCAGACATACAAATAAGAAATGTTTGTTAGTTGCAATGGTGAGTCCCATGACGTCATGTGCCAATCATCATTACAATTAGTGCAAGATGCTAAGGTCTGGCACTCTTATAAACAAATTATGCTCAAGTGAAAGTAGATAGCAGGAAATATCATTATCACCAAATAACGGTGGCGATGATAATTATCATCACTATGATGATAACGATGGTGCAAGTATTAATATTACTATAACTATGATGACGATTGTTATCATGGTGATGCTGATGATAGTGCTTTTTGATAATGATAGTGATGTTAGCGACGAAAATTATATGATATTATAAAATGATTTCAAGACAACAACTTGATTGGCTTAATTGGACAGAAGCACGAACGCACCAGGATTCATTAAAATGCATGTTGCTGTTGTTGCGGAAGGAAGCAACAATTTCATTTTTTTTATAGTGTATAAAAATTTTTGGGTTCGGCAGAGAGCTTTGGCGTGGTTTCAACTTGCTCCGATCTGGGCTGGTCTCTTACGGCAAGGAAGAAATTTTTGATAGATTTCAAAAAAAAAAAATTGAAAACTACCGATCTAATTGGCTTCAAATTAAAAAATGTTTATAAATGTTCAATTGTAAGCAAAATATTAATTAGTTTGTTTTGTTTCTTTTTTAACTAATTTAATGGAACTCTACTTCTAACAAAACAACTTTTATTCCTACAACGTTACAAAGTACTCCTGGCCAGCTTTTTTAAATAAAAATTGACCCAAATGTTATTGTAGTAAAGATTGAAACAGTTTTCTGTGATTTGAAGTTTAGATGCAAAAAATCATTCAATGGGACACTTCCAGTCAGTCAGTCCAGCGGAAGTAGTTTTATTACTTTCATGCTGCTCCCTCCTATCAAGAAGACACAATTCAACAAACACAAATGTATAAACATAACGAAAACATCTGGCAAACATATACCTGTGTATATGGTTATCTGCTTAAAACCTTAAATGAATAAATCAGTGAAGAATAAACAATGAACGAAATGAAAGGTTAGTAAAAACGACAAAAAAAAATATATAATAAAACAGAGAATGGGCAAATAAATAACAAAATGAAAAGAGTGCAATATATTTAAGAAGGTTTTATCTATTTATTATTTTTATTATTATTATTATTATTATTATTATAATTATTATTATTATTATTATTATTATTAAAGTTAGCGACACGAGCAGTCGCCTTGTAGTCGAAGCATATGTAACGTCATATGTAGAGTACTCGACGGCTGAAATGTTACAATTAAATAATAATGTAATGTAGTAATAGGGAGGCTAGGAATTACGAGTTCAAGCGCTCATTTCGTCACTTGGATGCGTTTGTCTGGCTTGCTAGGAATACAAGCCACAGTTGTCATGGCCGATTTCAATCATCTAACTAACTGAACGAAGTGATAAATCAGCAATTGAATATATCGACATATTCAGTTTGTTTCATTATCATCAAATGATGGACAGTCGTCATCACATCTTCATCAACAGATTATCAGGCGATTAAACAAATTTATCTACCAAATGTTCACCAAATATGAATTAAATATATATATTGGTCGATGCAAAATAATTTTGACAGGTGAGTGAATGGATGGATTGATGGTTGGACTGATGAATGGGCGGATGGATGAATGGGCGGATGGATGAATGGATGGATTGATGGTTTGATGGATGGATGGATAGATGGATTGATGGTTTGATGGATGGATGGATGGATGGATGGATGGATGGATGGATGGATGGATGGTTGGATGGATGGATGGATGGATGGATGGATGGATGGATTGATGGTTTGATGGATGGATGGATGGATGGATGGATGGATGGATGGATGGATGGATGGATGGATGGATGGATGGATGGATGGATGGATGGATGGATGGATGGATGGATGGATGGATGGATGGATGGATGGATGGATGGATGGATGGATGGATGGATGAATAGAAAGATAGATAAATAAATAAAACGATAACAGATGAAGAGAAGGGAAAAAATGAATAGAAAAAAGAGATAAAGAAGAGAGAGAGTGAGAGAAAGAAGATTGAGACGGAGAAAAAAGGAGAGAAAAATAAAAAAAATAAGAGAGGGAAAAAGAGAGAGAAAGAGAGAGAGAGAAAGAGAAAGGAAAAGGAATAAAAAAAGAGAAACGTAGAAAGAAAGGCGCATACACGGGAGACTAATTTAGTTTCAGAGACGTACGAAGCATGCAGTCATTTGTATTCCGTGGCAGCAACCTCGGCTAGGAAATTAGTAATGAGCCCGCAATAGGCAAGAAAGAAATGAACACACGTTCACTCGTTCACTCGCTCGTTCGTTCGTTTGTTCGTGTGTTAGTTTTATTTTTATTAGCTTTTATTTTACGGTTGTTTTAGTTTTTATTGTTGTTTCTCATTTTTGCATGTTTTTGTGTTTTGTTGTGGCGAAGGTGTTACTTAGTAATGCTACTTTTATTAATTGCTGTCGTTGTCTGCAGTTCAAAAAAGTAACATTACAATGATCATGCCTGCTAAAGAGTTGTTCCTTCCTCTTCACATGCCATTTGAAGACTATTAAAAAATGTCCAATGCAGTAAGTCAATTTAACTTTGAAAAGAATGAGTTACAAAAGAGAAATAAAAAGAAAATTAAATGAAAATAGAAATCGGAAAAAAGGAAAGCATTTCAGTCGCAAGTAGTAATGCAATTTTGATCACAACGGTTCATAATCCTCACCGACGTCACCCCATCACCGTTCACGTTCCAGCATTACCACCAAGACGGTTCATTTGCCGAGTTGGCATCATTATTTTCCAATCATTTTTCAATCATTTCTGTGGTGCGTGTTGGATCATTTTTTTAATGTTTGAATGTGAAAAATGGCATAACCTTCAAATTGCGCCAAAAGTAGCGTATAAAAATAGTGATGGTGTGGAAAGAGGGAGCATGTGTTGGGCTGACAGGACATGCTCGTTAAATTAATGCGCTGGTCAGAGACATCAGCTTGCTCATACGATGGCATTGTCGACTCTTGAGTAAAGTTTATGTTGGTCACTAATACAAAATTATCTAAGTAATGTAAGTTACAGCTTCCTAACTGCAAGTTATATGCTGGTCTCTGGCCTCTTCTTTGTATGGGAAACTAATGATTGAATTATTTCAGTTAGCAAGAATGTTAATGGCTTTTCCTGATATTATTTCAAAATAAACTTTTGAAAATCTGTTCTTTGAGCCTACATACATTGTCAATTGTCTGCATAACATCAAAAAAATTTCAGTAAATCAGTGCACTTGATTTAACATTCCACGGTCAAACGGCATCCTTCTACTGTTATTAACTTTTTTTAATTAAACTCCTTTAGCAACAACTGTATTGTTATAAACCTTTTCAATGGATATTATTGTGACTTCATCCCAATATGTCAAAATGTGCATGTTTATCAGAATATTTTTTATACCGACGATAGATTACAGTGTTAGGCACATGCCTGAGTAGCAGAGTTCGCCATAGATGTTTAATTTCGCAGGTCATCATTGTTATCGGCGGTGAAAGATTGTCATTCGGTGGCTCTTTGAGTAGGATTTCTAAACGCAGAAGTTACTTCACAGTTCGCTTACTATTTTTGACGCCATCAATTTAATCTTATTTCTAATATTTAATTAATTTATTTTCATAGTTCCTAATGTGAAAATTCTACACAGTGATAAAACAACATACGAATTGCAATTTGGAATCAGAATGAAATTTCTGTAGAATAAATTTTGTCTGATGTTTTTAACAACCACACACCTGATTTGAGAATTTTCATTGATAATTTGGTAACTCATGGTTTTTTAATATTCCCATAATTTCAAGGTTTGATACATTTTCTTGTGCAATCGTATTCAGTAAAAAAGAATAGCTAGCAGCGTGTGCAAGTGGAGGTAGGGGGTCTGGCACGCTGCGGTCATTATTGTCCTCCCAAGGGAAATGTCCTCGGGCAGCTCCACCAATCAGTTTTTATTTGCTAATGACGTTCTCAACATTGAAAGAGATTTTGAAATTTCCATATTTGTTTCATGAAACGAATTTTACTGAAAACATTTTTATATTGATTAGAATGTTTGAGAAACAAGTTTCAAATGGTCTTTTGAGTCATTCAGAGATTGAATGAATCAAAGAAAACAAATAAATTTAAATTTACTCTGATGAACTATGATGTTACAATATAATACAATACAATACAATACAACACAATACAATACAACACCATACAATACAATGCAGTACAATACATTCCGAGCGTGATGTTACTAATTTCAATGCTCAATTACCTTCACCACTCCATAATCTTCTGAAAAATTATTATTACTCACTAACGACTTGGTTAATATTTAAATTAATTCGATAATTTTATTATTCTCTACTTCTTTATTTTATATGTTTATATTAAGTTTGTTCTAAGCGTTTTGAAACACCTCATTGACGTTTTGTAAAATGAAATTTTCTTTTATGTGCAACTGCATCTGCATCATCGATATGAACTAGAGTTGGCAGAATGTTAAGAGAGATGTTAAGAAAATGTTTAAATTTTGCAATTTTGGTGAATGTTTGCACTGGGCTTAAAAATTTTACACTTGATGATCAGCAATTTAAATATTAAGTTCTGATATTGGCATTATGTTTGATTTAAGAAGATGTACTATAAAACCAATTATAAAATATCCTGAAAACGCTGATGCAGACTAATAACAAAGAGAGATACAGGACGTTGATACATATATAGAATGGCATAACCATACAAAAAAAACATTACAAAACATCATAAAATAAAAAATCACATAACTTGACATTACGTATATTTCTTTTTTCTCAAGACAAAACATTTTCAGGAATAACCAACGATGAAATAATGGGCGCAAGCATTTCATTGAATGAGTTAACAAAGAACGTACGGTCGCTGTGAGCCTTGTTGAGTTTCTTGAGGTCCTCGGCGTGGCAGAAGTCGTAGAGGCTCTTGTTGATGAGATCCTCCGACGGCATGTCCATCATGTCAGACAATCTGGTGCCAAAAAACATCCACTACTTCAGAATTCAGTGAAACAGTTAATTTAAATTTTATGTTCCCTTTTTTTATAATGATTTCCATTATCTTTATCTACCGTTTTGTTAAATTTTCAATTTTTGTACCTTTTTAAACGAAACAAAATTGCAACATGTCCCAACGTACCTTGGCTCGCAGTAGGTGATCTTGAGGTGAGGACTTAGTCGTGTGATGAACATGTCATTGTCGATGATGAGCTCTGTGATGGTTGGTGGGGGCAGGGCAATGGCCATTCCAACCAGTCCCAACAGGGGGGGTAGTTGCTTTTGAGAGGAGGAAGAAGATGAAGATGACGAAGATGATGCAGAGGAGTAAGTATACTGAGGTCTTAGGTGGGCCACAATTTGAACTACCTGATGATTTCAGTTGATCAGTTCATTATTCATGTTTTGTCTTCAATAATGATTGCAATTTTATTTTAGTTAAAAATTTTTAGTAAATATTAGTGAATTAAATAAAAAATTGGCATTATTAAAAATTTGTTCATTTTGCTTATTAGATTTTGTTCATTTTGGAAGTTACAGAGTTGAACTTTTGACATCCAAATACAAATTTTTTGTCACTATATTTCGTACAATCAACTTTTTTAAATATTAATTCAAAGTCACCTGGAAGCTTTTCTATACCTTTTCTACTTTAATGATTTCATTTTGCCTTTCAGAATAAATTTGCCAAAACCAATAATTTAAACTTGATGTGGTAAACAATTTGTTAAGTCAAGCGTTAAAAATTGCAACTTATAATGTATCTTGCTAATAAATTAATGACGAGAATCTTGTTCATTCCAATCGTTTTGCATATTTTAAAGAAGTTTTTTCTCTATTCTCAACTGCCTGCAATCAGGGTTCAACTTCATTTAAATTTAGAAGCCGTCCTTAAAGATTCTAATTAAAATAATTTTTGTATGTGTTCAGAATATTTCCTAGTAATAATTTCCATTTTTCAAGAAAATTCCTCTCAAGGATCTGCCAACCAGTCAATTGGTTGCATTTAAAAATACCCAGACGTCATCATCAAATATTTAAATATAGGCATCATCATTGAAAACAAAATGATAGGTTTAGAACGAACCCTGTATCCAGAAGATTTGAAGTGGACACCTCTCTTGGTGAGTGTGGACTTCATGCGGATGCAGAAGCACCGATCGTACCCTGTCGATGGGTTGGGACTCATGACGGATACTGATGGGTTTACATTACGAAAATTATACCAATTATTTGTTGGATGTTATTTGTATGTTCTAAACTAAAATATTTGTTAACATTCTAATTTTAAAATTGATTTAAAATATTCAAATTTATTGTATTTTATTGCGGTCCTAGTTTAAAAATTAAAACAGTTAATTCAATCAATAAATTTATTGATGCTTGATTAAATAACTAATTAACGTTTTAAAAAATAAATAAATAAACCTCTGTCCATGATGGGAGTGCTAGATCTTGTAGGGTTGGGTGCTGATGACGACCCTTCATCGGAGGTGGCTGACGATGGTGAGGAGAAGGAGGAAAGGGATGTGGATTGCTTGGGAACGTTGAGTCCCAGCTGTTCGGCCAGCTCTTTGTGATCGTGACTGTGGATGTACTCGAAGATGCTGCTTCCGGCCATTTCAACCTGCCCAGAAGTTACGTGGCAACCGGTCATTCTCTACTAATACACGAATGGTAAATCATCCTCTACTTGGCTATCGCTACTTTGTTATAAAATAACTAAAACTCAAAGGCGTAGCAAACGCGTTCAAACTTTTAAGATGACATTTTTTTAATTATATCAAAATTATTGGCTACAGCCAATACATTTTCAGCCAAGCCACTATCAAGAAGTGTTTTACAACATTTGTTACTTTTCTTTACAATGTTGAAATGTTTTGTAATTTTGTAATTATTGTTTGACTGTAGCTTTTAAAACAGGAGCAATGTAAATTTTAAATTTGTGTAAACAGAATTTGTATAATGTACAGACAATTTCAACAGTGAAACCACGAAGGCACAGCAGCTGGTACAATTTTCCAGCGTTTCATTCTTGGTGATTTCTAACAAATAGGTTGTTTAAAACGTTTTAAAGACTTGTTACAAGTTAACTTTTGTTAAAAAGTGAAAATTGAAAACAACTTCCAAACGAACTTTCTACGAGATTTCAAATAAAATGAACAGCCAGAATGTTTGATGGTGATGGCGATGGGACGAGCAGAAGATGGGCGTTGCATTGGAAGAGATGCATTCAATAAAATCAGAGGAAATAATTTGAAAGATGAATAATAAGACCCATGATGCAAATGCTGACCAACGGCGGGCAGATCTGATGCTGGCTACTCCTCTTGGCTAATGGTCAATCAAACAAATCAATTAAATGGCGAATGCTGCCTGGTTTCATGTTGTTTTGTGCTTGCCATGCAATTCTTTGCGTGCCTTCTTCTATGCTAACTATGCGTGCATGTAAGGATCTTTTATTGAAGTTATATTTTAATGTTTTAATTTATTACATATTATAAAGTTTATACAAGTGTCGTTGCCATTGTAGAAAAACATGACAAATTTTGAAAGTATCCTGCTAGAAATCGGTTTTGAAAATTTTACAAATTAATTAAAAGAAGTATGTGCAAATTATTTTAAAATGTTAACATTCTGTAAAATATGCTTCAAATGAACTTTATTTCAAGTATATCTTGAAAATATCTTAAATATCTGAATAATCAAAATGATGAAAATAAATTGACCGCATGCAAACGTTTAAAGTGCTCATTCGTTCAAAACGCGTTCTCGAATATTACCAATTTGAATGAAATTAAAGTTTTTTTCCAACAAAATTTTCCTCGTTGCTTCAAGTTAGCAAGCAAAATAGCGGCGCATGTTGTTTGACATTTATGAGAAGTTCAGTCAGCAGCAGCAGCAGAAAAGTGTGCCGAAATTCTCACAACGAACGAATGAAAGTTAGTGTTGCATGCTTGTTGATACAACAAATAACAAGAAACTGTAAATGGAGCAAGTTGTGAGGTGTATGCATGCGTTGGAAGCAAGCAGCAGTCAGTTTGTGAACCTGGTGGGAGACATACGTTCATGTGGACTGTTATCTCTCTTAATGGCCATTAACATTGGATCAAGAGTTGCTATTATCGGGTTATGTGTGCTGCTCCTCTTTGTCTCTCTCTCTCTCTCTCTCTCTTTTTATCTATCTATCTCTACTTTTTCTTTTTTTTCTATTTCTATCTTTGCTAACTTTTTAAGTGTGTGTCTGTGTCTGTGTGCGTGTGTCTGTGTGCGTGGGTTGTAGGTGCGTGTGTGTGTTGTGTGGTGTGTGTGTAATGTGTGCGTGTGTTGTGTGTATGTGGTGTGTGTGTGTTTATGAAGACATGTCAACCTTTTAGCTCACTTTGAATCAATTTTTTGATTTTATGCATTCTAATTTTTGCAACAAAACATACCTCATTTATTATGCCAAACAATTTTACTATTTCACAAGCAAGTTGTTTTTGAAAGTGTTAATATATTTCTTCATTTGCATTGTTTATTAATTGTTGATATTTAGCAATAAGTGAGCTAGAGACAAAATTGATAATGAAAGGATTCATTCTACAATTTTATATTGCATTTACATACGAAAGTTCTGCAACAATTTCAAATGAAAATTGTTCAAAGATTTTGTGAGATGTACCTAATCCTTAACATCAATTATTGTGGGCCCCCACCCTGGTTACACTTCTGCTTCTAAATCGAAAATTTTGGCATGTGCAAGTTGCTTACAAATCGGCGTCAGTGTTTTTTTGTACCTACATTGTGCCAGCGCGTGTACATGGTGAGGTGAACGTTCAAATGTTTGTACTTGCTTGTGTACGTAACACATCTGTGCGTGCATGCATGGTGTGAATGTACGATGGGTGTCCGATGAGTTGTATTATGTAACACATCGCGTGAAAATGTGGATGTGTGTGTACAACTCATTTGTACAGCAGGCTAGGAAGTATTCAACCTGAACGGCAACTCAAATTTTAAAAAAATTATTTAAAATTTTTGTTGTAAAAATTAATTAAGAAAAGGAGTTTTGTTAAATAATTCAAGAGCAAAATTTTCGATATTTTCTAAAAAAGTCATTTAGATTACACTGTAGTCAGAACGTGACATCACAGCATTCAAACACCTTACTACATTTTTTTCATTTCAAAATTTTAAAGTGAAAAAAATAAATGTTGCATTCATTCAGATGATTCAACGTTTGCGGCACATGCGTACGATGAAGCGTTCACACTGAAACGATCGCAAAGTTTTTTCTACATGTTGACAACAACTTCAACAACCATTAACTACTAAATTACAAGTCTTTTAAAACTTTATCTTTGAAAATCTGAAAAAATGTATGAATAAAAAATATGAGAAAAGGGCTTGCTGAGCGAAAATGTTGGTTTATGATTCTCTAACGTAAGATAAACATGCATTGATGTGCTACTGCGTTCATGTTCCTCTCGTCCACTGCTGGTGGTCGTCGTTGTGTTTGTTTGTGTGCTTGTGTTTGTGTGTGTGTTTGTGTGTGTGTATGTGTGTTTGTGTGGATAGTTGCGTTTTAAGAGTTGTTGTCGTTGTGTTTGTGCATTTGTGCAAATGGTTGTGTTATTTTACGTGTTTGTATTGCTGCGCGTGTAGGTGTCTTCATGTTAAATGTCTACAAGTTTTAAGTGCGTATGTGCAGGTAGGTGTGCGTGCGTGTGTGTGCGTGCGTGTGTGATGTGGTACATGTTTGTGTGGGAGGTTGTACTTTTGTGTTGCTGTTTATTGCGAGTGTGTGTGTGTGGATAGTTTGCTTTTATGGTCGTCGGTTGGTGTTCTGTTTGTTGTGTTTGTAGACGTATGTATGATTGTTGGTTGTTCTGTTGTTAAGTTTTTGTTAATATGATTGTCAGTGTGTGTGTGTGTGTGGTGTGTGGGTGTGCATGTGTGTGTGTGTGTGGTTTTCAGAGAATATTTTGGTTTTATTTCACTTATGTCCCCAGTAAGAAGATTGCCAGGCTGGTTTTTGTTGTGTGTATTCAGAATAAATTTGAAGTTAGAGTAAGTGGACATATAAGAAGTTTAAAAATTATGTTGAAACGGTTAGAAGTGACTGGGTATAGGTAAAAAGTTTGAAAAATTAAATTGTTAAAATGGTTTGAAGTGAACGAAATGAGCAACCTGACTGAGTCCTAGATAGATGGAGACAGTTTCGGAGATGTAGAGGAACCTGGCGTCATTCGAGAGGGCGAATGCGAATCCATCCAGCGACTGTGGGATCATCGATTGCATTTTGTAGCGCTTATTATTTTACAGTTCTACCGAGTTATTTTGTTGAAGTTAAAAATTTTTCAAGTTTAAATTCTTTCGACAAAAAATCTTTTGAAACATAAAGTTGTCGATAATTCTGCAAATGTTAATAAATTTTTTAATGATAAATAATTGAGACGACACACAAAATGCAAATAAATATGAAATAAGTTGAATTTCAAAAATTAAAAAATCGAACCGCTCGTTAAGAATTTAAGAATTTACATCAGCAGGTCTGAACATGACGCATCCAACACATAATGTGACATCATCACCATCATCATCATCATTATCATCATCTCATTATCATCATGAACAACATTATCGTCATCGTCGTCATCACAATCATAGCATAACATCATTATCACTTTATCACCATCATCGTCATCATCATCGTCATCATCATCATCGTCATCGTCATCATCATCACCATCGTAAACGCCGTGCAGTGGATAGATGGGGCGTCACCAGCAAATGTCAATCAAGTTCCTGTGACGTTTCAAAATGGCGTCTGTGTGAATTTTATGTGCGCATGTCAACAACTGATAATGATTGTTGTTGTTGTTGTTGGCTCGCGTTTAATGTTTCAACTTGTTTCGCTGTTTCATGTTGCTTGAAGCCTTTGACGTGATGTCCTGTGCGTGTTTTAAGCTACGTTATTTTTGATGTTGTTGTGGCTGATGATGTTATTGTTGGTGTTGATGGTGTTGTTGCTGTTGTTGCTGATTTTGTTGTTGATGTTGTTGTTGTTGAGGTTGTTGTTGTAGTTGTCAACATTGTCAACGACAACAACAACAACATTTCAACATGTTGTTGTTGTAGCTCGCCTGAGGTTGAGTCTCGTCATTTAATTTGAATATTCAAGAATCGAACCACGGCCACCAAGGCAGCCCAAAGGTCGGCGGTGGTGAGGGGAGTGAGATTGGTAGGGCAGTTGAAAGAAAGTTGAGTAGTATGGTGGGGTGGGTGACAGAGGTAGCATTGGTCGAAGATGGCATCATTCATGCAACTGAGGTAACTGATGAGGTGGGTGGAGTAACTAATTAGGGTGGTTCTTGTTTTGTGGGGTGGTTTCAATTTTGTTGATAGGACACCTCCTGTTGAGCACAAGGGGTTGAGGTTTGAAGGGGTTGATGGTGTTGTGGAGTGTGGAAGAGTGGATGTGACGGAGTGGATGTTTGCTTGTGTGGTTGTGAGGAAGTTATGATAGGAAGGTGTTTCGCCGGGAAGAAGATGCAAACGTTCATCAAATCGAACAGGCGATGCAACTGGACACCCACCCACCCTCTCAGCCATGTTTTGCCTATAGGGCGGTGTCTGCCAGCGTCACTACTCCAGACGATTCTCCTCATTTGCTGGCATCGAGCCCCACCCTGGCCCGCCCAAATGTTGTTGTTGTTGTGGTTGGTGTTGGTGCTGTTGGTGGAGTGGTTGATGTTGTTGTTGTTGTTGGTGGTGGTGGTGTATATGAAAACATGTTTAAAATGTAAACCTACATGTAACATGATCTCACCAATAAACTTTTCCAGATTCGATTAAATAGATTTTAAGTCTTATGATTAATATATCAAATGAGCATTCGTGTTTAACGTCTCAGATGCAAAAGTTTTGTAACCAATAAAATATTATGGCATAGGACGTGCCGAAAAATTGCTAAAAAAAAGTTTATCTTACGACGTTGGTCATAGACAAAA